GGGAAGGAGTTCATGGAAAAGAGGAGGTGTTACTGGAGAAACTTAGCGCCTTCACCTTACAACTTTCCTCCGCGAAAGTTGCACAAGGTTGTCTGGTGCGGAGCTCACTACCTTTTCCCTAACAATATGTTGCATCGTTGGGTCATCGCGATTCCTTTCCAAAGTGACATGAGATTCGGTTCGAAGCCGTTTCTTTCAATGTACTATGACGATACGGCATTCAAAGCCAACTGGGGAGGGGGAGACGGAGAAACAATGGTAAGGGTGTTCTGCATCAGAATTCCTCACCTTACTGTAACGCGTGTAATTGCTTTAGCCTCAGTTACTGAGATAATCAGAGAGAATTCATGTGAAAATGGATTAACGATTCCAATGTGCGTGAGCTTTCAGTTGCCCTGCGCATTCCAGTACGTTGTGATGGCCCGTGCGGAGGAATGACGGACATTGACTACATCGAGTTCGGCCTTTGTGACCATAACGTTTGTCGACGTTGCTACGATACAGCTGAAAGTGCTGATCACGAAGGTATGTTGATGGCAAAGAACGCGATCATTCGCCATCACAGATAGTGGACTAGGAGTTCCCATATTGACGACAAGGTGCTGAGCAACTCGATAGTGAAGAAAAAAGCAAAAAAAACATGCCAACTGCCCTAGATAGAACCCCATTTCGATCCCAGTTTGTACGTGCCCAATTAACTCCATCTCCAACACTACGCCCTCATCCGCACAGCTGATTCCCCGATAAGAACTCTACGACCGTACAAGTGACGATTTTCATGCTTTTTCGTCCTGCAGCTTCGTTTTTCACTGAAAGGCGGGCCTTGGAGGCGGAGTCTGGAGGCGGAGTCACTGGAGAAAAGGAGGCGTCACTGAACCTATATTGCGCTATAGCGCCCCTCCCTTACAATTTTTTGCCGCGAAACCGGTACAAGGTTGTTCGTCGCGGACCACACTACCCACCCCCCGACGCCATAGTTCCAACTTCTATACCTGACAGGCCCTTGAGTGTTGGCACCTACATAATACAAACTAGTATTTTCTGCGGCTAAAGAGTTGGGTCGATCAGTAGCCATTATCTTCGAGGAAGGCGTTATTTCAAAACAGGTCATATATCTCCCCGAGGGATAGTGGGTCCCGGTGAACCTTTTGAGGCTAATCACACGGGATAAATTTTTAGAGAGCCTGACATCTCAGGAACACTAATGTTGAAGCTGGTAAGAAAGAAATAGCGATCGATAAATAGAAAGTGATAGCAGCGGATAAGTTCTGAATAGAGGCCTCACACTCAGAAATGGATTGTCGCCATGTTCACAGTCTTGTTGCTTCTAAGAAGTGATCTACAGTGCATGCAGGGAACATCATTAGGGGGTGAAGGGAAGTGAAATGCTGGGCAAGATGGGAGCATTATTGGACCCCTGTCCCAATCTTCTCGTTCGATCGTGTTTCTGTATCATTCATTCATTACCACTCAAACTGTACACAGGTGTGAGGACGGTCTTTGCCATGTGCGAGGCGAATGGGCCCACTGCTGGGTCCACGGACAACTGGAACTGAAGCCCTCCAATAGTGTCGACTTTCTGTTTTTCTCTGCGCGCTCACGACGTTTTGTAACTCCGAACTTTCATATTCCGATTTTTCCACGCAGAAAAGTGGCTCATCCACCTTGGTGTCCTCTCTCTTCCACGAAACTCATCGCCCGGCTCGCAACATGTTTTTTGCACTTCTCAATGCCTTGGCAACCGAAGCCCTTCATTTCTCTGACTTCGCAGCAGGATCCTCACCAACAAAAGTGCACGGAAAGTGGGCCGGAGGGGAATGATGCATGAGTGCCATCCCACGCTTCGCCAGCACTGTTCGCAATGTGCAGCTTCTGCATCGATACCAGGGTACCGCAGGGAAACACCTACTTAGCGGTAGAGAACCTCCAGAAGTGAGGGGGCACAGGCAAGTAGCGCGTTTGGCTATAGGTCGGCGTGTAGTTGGCCTTGCGGCGCAGGCGGAGTCCCAAACGGCATCCGGGTATCACTACTCTCCAGCCTCGCTCCTAAGCGCTTTTGACCCGAGAATTCCGGGACTTTTCAGCTGAGGGACCAGTCACCTTACACATGGCGGGGATCTGGATCTCCGGATCAGGTGTAGAGTTTGTCTTAATCATGATCGGCTTAAACCCCCTTTCTTTCATACCAAGAGCTTTCGATTCCAGGCATACATGGATGTTGTAATGCCGATTGTCTCGAACTAGCAAAGAAAGAGACTACGCGCAAGAGAAAGTAAGTGGAAACCAGTACTGCCAGTGTATTACATAATGCTTCATGTCGTTTCCAGAGTTGTTAAAAGAGCGGAAAAACGACGAGCAAGAAGGCTTCCGCAGCGAAGTATGAAAGCCATGATCTACATACTCAGTGAAGTATACCCAGTACTTTGCTGAATATTGCAGGACTCGTTCCGGATGCAATATGATGACAGCGAGCTGCAAAAGTTCGTGGATGGGCTCAACATTCACAGAAATGCCAGATCGGCAGACTCCAGTACGACGGAGTAAGTTATTGATACAAACACTACCCTGAAATACGCAGTAGAAAAATAGAAAAAGATGACCTAAAGAGATGAAGATGACCTATTGACCTAAAGAGTGGAATGGAATAGTTTTGAAGAACTTTAGGTGTGTGGAAGAGAGCACACCGGTAGCATGCCAGTCCGGATCGCGCATGGTTTAGTACCCGCATCACGATGGGTCGTAAACTTTGGTCGCTGGGAGTGGAGTGCTGTCGCGTTTGCCTCTGAGAAGAGAGAGACACGAGGTTTTCTGACCCACGAGGGAATTTTTTGTTAACTTTTCTCATTTTTGTCTTCCCTTTCATGTGCGCTATACGTATGTGCTCCTACTTACAAGAACTGCTGAACTGCCATACCAATACATTCGTTGATAGAACCACTAGCCAATTGGTGACATCCTCTTGTTCCGTCCAGTGCGGAAGCTAGATTTTCGGGAAAACTGGAAAATTCTCCTTAAAACTGGAAGAAGGTAGTAGGCTGGAAGAGCTCGGAATGGTGGAGATAGGATGGGAAGTAAGGTAAGAAGGCGGGTCATACCAGATGAATAACATTCTGGGAGTGGGGCTGCGAGCTTACATCGCCAGTTCATAATACTGTACCCTGATCCAAAACCGAGTGACTATCGGTGTAAATTGATTAAAACGTTTTGTAACTTGAGACTTTTTTGAAACAACTTTTAGTGAGTGTCGAACTTCATCAGCTAGGAACTTTCAAAAAGTGAAGTCGGAATCCGATCCGACTCACACTAAAGGCCCATTCTGGAGTATATACTTCAACGAAGCTTTTCGTTCGCTAGAAGTAGCGTTGCTGAGAAGAGAAAAGCGGTACAAAATTAGAAAGAAATAATAAAAGCCTACATAGCTTTTGTACAATCAAAGTTAAGCTCACGCATAGGGTTTCGTTTTGTTATCACGGTGCACAAAGGTTCGTTCTCTTAATCGACATTCCTCGAAGACGTGTAATACGATAATTCGGTACTCGGTCTTAAATGGTAGCAGGGGTGCTGTATAGTGGGAAAAGGCGAAAAAGCGAAGTGAAACGGTCAAAAACCTGCAAGAAAAGCCTTTGTTCTTTACGACTCAGGAAGCAATTTCGGACGAGTTTTCCGTTGGCATCGTGCCAGTAACCGTTACGGTAGATACGGCTGCATGTATGTACTCATGTACCCATGCTGCACTGCAGCCGCCTTCATATTTTACTTCGCAAATAAAGTAATACGAGCATCAGGCACGGTCGTCCCTTTATGGGGGGGGGGGGGGAGAGCGCAGTGGGTATTCAGATCGGTATGTTGCAGCATGGTAGGGACTTTGTAAGGGTACCTTCCTTGGAAAAGGTGTCACGCAGCGCCTGCTCAGGGGCTCCCAATTCTACCCTGCTAAGCGTATTAATCCTACTGTTAGGTCTTAGGGATTAATCGTGCCAAACTGCCTTCAAGAGAACAAGGTTGCGTTACATAAATTAGCATTAGTATAACTAAGATCATTACTAGCTGGAGGAATATACTATTTTCCATGAATTTCAGCTTGCAGAAGGAGAACACCTTTTTTCAAAAGCCAAAGCTAATCTTCTTCCAAGGTAGCTGTTCTAGCTAGTTACCTTCTAGAATTATTCCGAAGAAAGCTGTCATTTTTAATTGTTTTTTTTCCAGAGTTTCATACTATAAATGCCGTGAAATATTCTCCCAGACTGGTTACTCTAGTACTATGTTGGCGGGAAAGTTTTGTCACATTTCTTGATATTAAGCTACTATTATTGCGTAAGAGTGAATGTATCCATTGTTGTAATGAGGGGTCTTGGTAACCTGTGGGCAGCATATGGATCCCATCCCTCCAGAGTGTAGGCTGGTGGCTTGAATTTCAATCTTTTCTTTTTCGTGTACAGAGGTAGATCGGTAAATAGTAGCTGTTGAAGGAAACGATATCCGGGGAAGGCGCAGGAAAAGGATAACTATCCAGTACAGCACAGCTCCAGCTTCAGCTTTCTTGCAGTGTGTGGTCTGTACAGCGTTGAAAGCATTCTTTGTGGGCAACAATTCTCGCTGAATGGCGATTAGCTTAAGATCTCGGATCTGCTGTCTATAGAGATCCAGATATGTCTATAGAGAGAGTAGTAGCAGCCCCTCTATCCGGTTGTTCCTGCTTAGAAACTGTAGTGTTCGGAAGATTTGCAGTTCCAGCTATCAGCGGAGAATCATTCGTTAGCTGCAGGTATGGTCTCTATACACCCCATTTTGGCCTCGGCAGCTTGTATACTCAAAGGAGCAGAGTGCAGTAGAAGCAACTGAGGTGTGGGATGGCTGGGCAGGTGCTGAACTCCTTCCTACAAATAATAGCATGAATAAAAGCAAGTTGCATTAATAGTAGAGAAGGTGTCACCTGGCGATTCATTATTGACATCATCTCGATCTAGACCCCTTTGAAAACAAGCATTGTAAGAGTCTTAGAATATGATCACAACCCTTTCCCACGCAACCTACATTTCACTCAATGTGTTGTATTGCATTGTGATGTATGTTCCCAATAAAGGAGTTTACCTTATTTTGCTTGATTTTTCCTGTTTCATGTGTACTATATATTACTCGATAGGCAGGAGGTGGTGTAGTGACAAGTGGCGCGCTTACCACTCGCGCGGCGCCGGGTTCGAATCCCGGGTCGACTCCCGCCCAGGCCAACCAAGCCTTCTACCCTCCGGACACGGTAACTTGTGTAACGCAGATTCTCTGGGAGATTAATAACACTGACTTGTACATCGGCTGGCCCCCGCAAGTCATTGTATAGGCCACATCGCATTCAATAAGCCACTACGATTCTGAATGGAAGTAGAATGCGTGCCGCATCCCACAAAGGGATTGATCAACGGCGCGAAGACTTTATCCTTTTATCCTTTTAATATTGCTCCAATCCTCTCCCCGCGAAACAGGCAAAGCTTTTCAGGGAGAACTAGGAAAATTTTCGGGAAGTTCCTGTGAATGTGCTAGGAAAATGGTAAATATGGAGAAATTAAGAAAGTTGTCATTAGGATGGGGAAGGGGGTGGGGGTCGACCTGTAAAAAAGAAGGGGGATGTCGCACGGATTCGACCAGAGATAAGTTGTCTGGCGCCCTCTCACATTCTTTTGGTCCTCTGTGTGCAACTTACCAGGGAGGTCGTTCAGGATATGGCGCGCTTTTTGAAAACGGTTTTTTGCATTGTGTAGGGGCACGTTCATGGACTACCAAACTGACGTTCATTTTTCCTAAATGGCTCTTTGAATACCAAAAAAGGAGTGAAGAAGAAATGTAAGGAAACGGGTTGGTCTGACAGCGAGGAGCGGAGGCTGGTTTTGAGCTTCTATGGGCTCCAAATCACTTCCAACTTTGACCAGTGGCTGAGTAGTGGGTCCTTATAAAGGCACTATAGGTATCGAGGAGGAAAGTAGTCGCGAATGGGGTCTTATTTGCGGCACGTGATTGACAGCGAACGCCTCTGGGCGGCTTGTCGGATGGTTTCTTCAATGATGGGAGCGGTGTTCAGCTACAACGATCGGATGGCCTAGTGGATAGCGTGGAGGATTTCTCAATCGGAACGTTGGGGTGGGTGTTGATGGTTCGACTCCCCTCGGCGTGCCAATTTTTGCATTTTTTTAGTTTTGCTACCCTCGCCTCCATAAATGTCTCTGCATGAGGATAACATGGATATTTGCCATTTATGGGCAAATTCTTACCTGTAGGATCCGCGACTCGGTATTATAACACTATTACAGTTTTCTCCTACAATTAGGCAAGGCTGCTGCCGAAAACTGATTTTTACGCGTCGTGCTACCTCGATGAGATTATCAATTTGGTACTTAATTTTAGCTGTGGTGCCATTTGACTCCGATTTGCATCCACATCACTCTCCTACGGAATTCACTATGGAAATCCATACAAGGGACGTTTCGCGCTATCCTGCCGTCAGATTGTGTCAGCGCCAGAAATGAGTGTCAGAATCGTGTTCAGGACCATCAATAACCCCTATAGACGAAGAATCGCTCAAAAAATTTTTTTCGACCTTTTTGGGTGTGTGTATTGGATTGTGTACACCGAGCCTCTCCACTGAAATCCTACTTTGCCTGCTATTTAAACCTTCCCATTTACTGATTAGTAAACATAAAACTGACAACAAGATGCACCACTGGGAAAAGAAAAATCCAGACATCCCTCCAGGTGCATTTGGAATTTTGCAAACTTAAACGACTCTGTTCTGCGGCTGGAGGAGAATGACACCTTCGTCGGTGAGCACCCGCTAGGGTCGACAAAGGTCCACGATGCGTTGTTCAGCAGTATCCACATGCATCCAGACTTATAACTGCGTGGAAGGACCTTTGGTGCAACGAATTCGCGATGCGGCTGCTCGGCGGCGCGCTACGTCATCTTTACGTCACCGCCCTTGGCAAGGTGTAGGACTTCGGTCATAATCGTCGACCAAATGGGCCGCCTTAACCAAAGACGGTCGAAAAAAATTTTTTGAGCGATTCTTCGTCTATAGGGGTTATTGATGGTCCTGAACACGATTCTGACACTTATTTCTGGCGCTGACGCAATCTGACGGCAGGATAGCGCGAAACGTCCCTTGTATGGATTTCCATAGTGAATTCCGTAGGAGAGTGATGTGGATGCAAATCGGAGTCAAATGGAACCACAGCTAGATTGAATGTTGACAAATTGATAATCTCATCACTTACTTACACGTAAAAATCAGTTTTCGGCAGCAGCCTTGCCTAATTGTAGGAGAAAACTGTAATAGTGTTATAATACCGAGTCGCGGATCCTACAGGTAAGAATTTGCCCATAAATGGCAAATATCCATGTTATCCTCATGCAGAGACATTTATGGAGGCGAGGGTAGCAAAACTAAAAAAATGCAAAAATTGGCACGCCGAGGGGAGTCGAACCATCAACACCCACCCTAACGTTCCGATTGAGAATCCTCCACGCTATCCACTAGGCCATCCGATCGTTGTAGCTGA